TTTTTTTGATTTTTGGTTTCCACGCGGAGTTTTTCAATTTTGAAAATGCCACGATTTAACGTTGGTCGGCTGATGAAACGAAGGAAACAAATTAAAGAAGCTGAGAGAAAAAGAAAGATTCTAAACGATGAACTGGAGGTAAAGTCGAAAAAGATCAGAGCAAAAGATGCAAAACTTCGGCGATTGAATGAGAAGGTAAATTATATATATTACTTACTATTTAATAAGCTTATTAAATAAGCTGACTATCAATTTAGTATTTAATTTATATTGCCTGATTTACATGTCAGTTACTGTTTATTTACAATCGAACAAGCCAAACACGAAAAGGTCAGCTGTTGTTTATCAGTGAGTTATTACCGCTATCACCTCCGATCGATCTTAAATTCACTTAAGAACACATTCCTGGTTCTTATAGGTAGACAGTTTAGTGCAAGAGATAGAAGAGGTAGATGATATTAGAGTTGAGCTGAGAAATGAAGAAGAAAAGGCAGATTTTTTACCATCGCGCGCTGTTAACGCAAGGAAGAAGAAGGAGACAGGGCAGAGATTGAAGCCGACAACATCAAGAAAGCGCAGAAGAGAGACACTGGGAGCTGCAAAGGAGATCCATGAAGGTGAAAAGGGGGCAAGATATGGCTTGGTCGACACTGTGGACAAAGCTGTCAAGGCAGAGGAAGCAGTCAAGATCATAGAGGAAGCCAAGTGTAATAATCTAAAGCAGAAGGTTTTCCCTAAGTTGTATAGAAAATCCTTAGTTGAGTTTGAGAAGTCTGACTCCAACATGGTTAGATCAGTGGCTGTATATTATAGTAATGGTGTAATGGGTAAGAAAAAATATCGTTCCACCTATAAAGCTAGTTCTTTTAAAGTTAATAACCAGACAACTTCTCATAGCCCTAGATCAAAAGCTAGTCGTTTAACAGTAGCAGGCTGCCCCATTCCAAAGTTGGTGCCGTACCACAGGTTAAATTCCTTCATCAGTGATATCAACATAGGTACTCTATATAGTGTATGGGATACTCTTTGTTGGGATTTGGATGAGAGGGAAAAGGTTGCTGGGGTGTATCGAAACCTAGAAGAGCTCGTAATTAATCTAGCTTCATTTTATCTTAATAATAATTATGATATTTTGAGTTTTGGTAATCCTGATACATTCCATGTTGCTTTGGGTGGTGATGGAGCTCCTTGTGGCAAGGATGATACAGCTGTAGCCTGGCTTGTCAGTATTTTAAATATTGGGCAAGGCGTATTGAGTAGTTCAGAGAACTTCCTTCTTTTTGGAGCTAACTGTGATGAGAGCTGTGTACCAGTTAGAAGATTTGTTTTGCAACTGATGAAAGATATTGACAGAATTGAGAAGACTACCTTTCCTATTTCCTGCAATAATGGCAACGTGCGTCAGATCAAGTTTCTTTTTTCAGAATTCCCAAACGATATGAAAATGCTGTGTTTTTTAACAGGTGAGTTAAGTAATAGTGCTACTTATTTTTCTTCTTTTGCTGACGTATCAACAGAAAGCCTGAAATCTAAAACTGCTCTCACTGGTACTTTTGGACCTGAAACATCAAATCAATGGAAGCCATGGAAGTATGACCACCGAGTGAAAGTTGCTGCTGCTGTTGAAAAGCTGAAATCCAAGGTTAGCAAAGAAAAAATCACAGAAACCACAAAGAGAAGTAAGATCACAGCATTCATCTCACAGCAGGGTAGCAGACAAGAATTTATCCCTATTATAGGTAAACGAGTCGATAGAATTCATGTTGATCCTTTGCATCTTAAAAACAATGCTTGTGCTTATGCCTGTAGTATCCATAGCAACTAATCATGTATGATAATTAGCTAAGTTG